AAAATAACTTTTTGTGTTTATTTTGAAAGTTTTTGATGAAATGATGACAAAAATGGCGTTCATTTTGAGTGAAATTTGAAATTAATATTTAATTTAATGATTAGTTTTTGTCATAATTTGACATCAATTATGGATTTGTAGAGAAATTCGTGGAAAATGTTTAGATTTGGTTCGAGAAAAGACGTGAACTGCGAGTTCAAGTGTGGGATCAGACTCTTGGACGACAATGAAGTCCTTCAGACAGAGTTTAAGGTATTTATCACTCAATGCATGCATTGATCTTTTAATCCGGTGTTTAATCCCATAATGTTTGTAAAGCGCGAACAAAAGGGACAGTTTCTGCTCGACTTTGTCTTCAAAAGCCTTAATCTCATTGAAAGGGATTATTTCGGACTCAGATTTGTTGACCAAAACAAACAACGGGTAAGCGATCGGTGACACAGTCTGTGGCCAACGGATCCATGAGTTGTGCCACTCGTGAAGTAATACCACTAATAAGACTAATATAATGTGATTGTATTGTTGCAGAATTGGTTGGACCCAACTAGGTCAATCATCAAACAAGTCAAAGGTAACAATCATTTGATTGGTTGTTGACATCCATTGTAACCATTGTATGCGTAATGTCTTAGGAGTGGATCCGATAGTGTTTTGTTTTCGAGTCAAGTTCTATGCGGCCGACCCTTCGCTCCTTAAGGAAGAGATCACCAGATATTTCCTTTACTTACAGTTGAGACGGGATTTACTTCACGGCAGACTGTATTGCATGCCTTCGGACGCAGCGGTTCTCATGGCGTTTGTCATTCAATGTATAATATATTATTTCATGATATAATTGGTTAACAGAAGGTTTGAAAAGTATGTTTGGATCTGTTTTTATAGCAGAATTAGGAGACTTTGATCCCGAAGAACACGTCGGCGAATATGTGTCCGAATTTAAGCTATTGTTGAATCAAACGTCGAAAATGGAGACACAGGTTATGGATATACACAAGAATGAAATGAGAGGTCAAACGCCCGCAGAGGCAGAGCTGAACTTCTTGAAGAAAGCGTCACATTTGGAGACCTATGGTATAGATCCTCATCCCGTCAAAGATCAAAGAGGGAATCAACTCTACTTAGGGGTCAATCACTCGGGAATTCTTGCATTTCAGGGAAGCCGTAAAACACATCACTTTAAATGGTATTTCAATACTTTAAACGTCTCTTTAAATACTAACCATTAGATCTCTATTTTGATCTCAAGGAGTGAACTCCAGAAGATTACATATGAGAGCCGTATGTTTATCGCTCATTGTCTCATCAATGATGTAATACCTATCCATAAATCCACTCAATTATATGTTTACTAAAAGTGTTTTTATCGACAAAATGTGTTTAGAAGAAGCATTTAATTGGTTTCAAGTGTCCGAACATCTCTTCGTGTCACTACCTCTGGAGATGTGCTGTCGAACAAAGATATTTCTTTACAATGAATTCCTCGCGTGACATACCATTCGTTACCACCGGTGGAGGAATGTTCTCAAGAAGTACTAAATTGAGATATAGGTATGTCTTTGTTTGGCGTTCCGTATCTTCTTTTAGTTGTTGTTGTGTTGCTTTTGATGTCTTAACTGTTTGTGAATAAATGTATTCAATATATGATCACAAATAAGTTTAGTTTCCATTTCATAGCAAAAACTATACGCTATCGCGGAATAAATGGTATCTCTTTTGCTAAGTCTTTGCTTTTGTCTTCTTTGCAAACATATGTTTTGATCGATTGTTTAATTTTAGTTTATTTTTAATTATTTCGTTAATTTAGTGGAAGAACTGAAAGAGAGATAATTGAGGACATGAAACGTGTGGACAGAGTGTCGGCCAGTATTCATAGGAGTTATTCGATAACATCGGCGCCGCCATCGATGCGAACTCTCGGCCGCTCTAATACGGCTCCGTTGCCACACCACGAGTCACCCGAGAGGTCCACTTATTATCACAGCAAAGGTGCGCTGTTTTCACTTGATTTACTCTATAACTGATAACAATGTGTGTCTTTGAATGGTTTAGTGGTTCCGTATCTCAATTATTCAACACTCTCTGAGCCGTGCGATGAACACAACCCACACATCGATCCCGAGGCAAATGAGGTCCACCCGAACGCTAACGTCTCGTTACCGCCATCTTTGGATCCATTCGACGAAGAAGATTGGGATTTGTCTATGACTTCAAGTTTGCCCACAGAATTCGATCTGAGACCAGATCTGACGCCAACCGGTGAGGAATGTCACACGTTATCATTCGAGACACCAGAGGTGCGATCGTCGCCCTCACACATGGCCTCTAATGGAACCGATTCTGACGAACCGTTTGAACAAAACAGTGATATTTTAGAGAAAAAGAGCACTTCTTCTCAAAGTAAAGGTTCTGTCAATAGTTGCAGAGCTCTTCCCCCCAAACCATTGACCAAACTCTACGCTATTGTCCGCACTTCTATCTTAAGCTCATTACTGGTTATGTTGTTCTTCTCGTGCCTTCTCGTAGTTATCATTGAATCCGATTCCGATCTCTTCTCTCATTTGCGAAAACTGCCAGAACTGGTAGTATTAAGACGTGATTATTACGAACCATTCAAAGACATTGTCTGGCAATCAATCGGCAAATGATTGAATTATACATTCCTTTTACTGACAAAACTTCCAACTCTTGAATTGAAATATTTTGGGACAATTAGTATTGTTGTCAACAATTGATTTCAACTCATCTGAATCTCTTGTCTTTAAATACTTTCCATTCTTATTATATACAGTATTATTAATATCATTATAATTATATAAATTCCAATCATTTTGCGCTATATTTTTACTCCACAAACACTTAATTGTTATTTATTTTTAATTTTTACTATTTTTAAAGAAATCTTTTGTAACAATTAATTTATATGCAAAACCAAAGCAATGAAATGATTAATTGCTTGTATTGATGAGCAGTTACTACACCTGTTCTGGTGTTAGTAAACAGAGCTTTAAAGATATCTATAATTTAACAAATTGTTTGACTATTAAATTGCAAATCTATATAAGTTTCGATTGTTAGGGAATTCTTGAGAACCGATTACATACTTAACCAATTTGTTAAATCTATTTCAATATATATATCGATTTTATTAATGTTTTACAGTATTTATTCAAAACGGGAATAATATTATTATTATTATAATTATTATTAATGTAAGAATAAGCCAAAAGTGCTGTGAAATCTTTGTGCAAATCTATTTGTTTGCATTCAATGGTTGTTTCAATTTGAATCTCAAACTACACTTTTAAACAAATGAATTTTTCGGTGCATTTTTATAATTATCACAATATTTCCAATCATTTATACACTTATTTCAAATAATAAGACTATCAGTAAATGTGTTATAAAAT